TTTTGAAGACATTTGCCAAGCTTTTGTATCGGCGAATATACCTCTTTCAAAGCTCAATAATCCTAGTTTACGAGATTTATTTAAAAAATATACCAGGCGAGAACTTCCTGATGAATCCACAATTAGAAAACTGTACCTTTTACCTGAATATGATAAAACCATTGCAACAATAAAAGATAATATATCTGATTCTTACATATGGGTAAGCGCAGACGAGACAACAGATATTGAAGGTAGATGTGTGGTCAACGTAGTGGTAGATATTTTGGATCCTCAGAGACATTATCGCCCTATTTAGTGTCGACGGAATTCAGAAATACCGTAAACGCAGAGGTCATATTTGAGATTATTAAAAAAGCTGTTTTGAAAGTGTCCAATTCTCCGGAAAAAGTATTACTTTTTGTATCTGATGCTCAAAACCGGAAAGCTTTTACAGCAACAGTTTTCCAATGCATTTAACATGTTTAGCCCACGAATTACATCGGATTTGCGAATTTATCAGGGAAACATATCCAGACGTTAACGTCTTAATTAACAATGTTAAAAAAGTTTTACTTAATGCACCATTTCGGGTATCTTTATATAAAGAAATGTTCCCCAACTTGTGTCTACCCCCACAACCTGTAATTACACGTTGGGGAACTTGGTTAGAAGCTGCTTTTTTTTATTACCAAAATTTTGAGAACATACGATCTTTTATAAAAAAGTTAACAGACACTGCAATGAGTATTAATACAATTTACAATGTATTAATAGTACACAATGATCTCAAGTTTATTTACGAAAATTTTAAACAAATACCAGAAACGCTACAGTTTTTAGAAAGACAGAATATTGAACTTGCTACGTCGATTTTTAAAATTGAGAGACTTTTGAACCAATTAAAAAATGTAGACGCGGATTTTACTACAAAATTGCAGCATAAAATTCATGCAGTAATTTCACGCAATCCCGATTATAATATTTTAAAAGACATTGCAACCAATTCATTTTCCAACCAAGAAATATCTTCTAAATATGGCCCGTTAGTTCCAGCATTTAAATTTGCGCCAGTTACCAGCTGTGATGTCGAAAGAACATTTTCTAGATTTAAAGACATTTTAACACCCAAACGGTCGTCATTTTCACTCAATCATTTCACCAAATAGGAACTGAGAGTCGAGAAAAATTATGATAAAATATATAATTACTTGCTTTTTAGCGTTAATACAGACCCTTGCTAACGCGCGCCTATGGATTACCATGACAACGCTGCAAACCAAAGAACTCGGGACCTTGGCTATGCGTCGCTCGTTAATAACGCAACATTCGTGAACTGGTCGACTGGACTTAGGTACCGAAGAATCCGAGCTCTAAGAATGAGACACCGAAGACGACGAAGTAATAAAATATGGGTGGTCCCATTTAAAAAAATGAAGTTATAGTACTTCCAAATTTTGAAAAGTTAACGTGCCATAGTAAAGTGACCAAACGTTGTAGACAGCCGTTCTCGGCTCCAAAACATACTCCATCATGTTGCTTAAGCATGTTCTGAATCCTAAATTGATATCCCAAAAATCGAGTGTTCTCTGATTTTTTGAATAAATGTCTGCTGGAGCAGATTTTTCTAGAAAAATTCAAATAACTCGAGAACACCCGAATCAAACTGCAAAAAGTAAAGTTATTTATAAACCTTGAAAACAGACAAATCCAAATATGTAAAAATATACAGGGTGTTCCATTTAAAAAATAAAGTAGGTTGCGACTTCAGGTAAAACCGGAAGTGCAAGAAATCTGAAAATATTTTAGTCGAAGAGATCGTAATTGATAATACTTAAGTTTGAATTTTCAAATTTTTATTTTCGCCAGAACCCCAGAAACGTCTAATGACCGGTCTCGCTGAGACACCCTGTATACATAATATATAACATTTAAGACAGATTTTTAAGATTGCATTAGTGACCATTTTATCTAATCTAACGGAGATTGTGGGAGATCAACTATTTTTATTTTTATAATTTCATTTCGGATGATTTATGACGAAAGTATATAATTTTAAATTAATAATTTATAATCATATGATCTGTGATTGTTGTAAAAATAACTATTATAATAGAATTTCTTAGTAGCACAAATTTTAAAATTTCATGTTGATGAATGAAATTTGAATTTGACGTTTATTGACAATAAAATTAAAGAATTTTTTTTCTTCAAAACACGGAATATTGAGAAATTGAGAAATATATAGTTTTCAGGATTTAGCAAATTAAATTTATTAGTATGAACGATATTCTATTCATATCACTTTAATGGATTAAAAAACATTTCTGCTCATTTTGATAATAAGTTTGTTCACCATAAAAAATCGTTTTCATTAACTTAACACTAATTACATTGACACACAACCAATAACTCCAATTTTTTTAATACACTTTTTTATTTAGTTACCCTTTCAACTTTGCGCCGAAAACAATGTTTTATTTCAACGATAAAATCGCTTTCCAAATTTTTCATCGACGCCATCAATAATAAATAAAATTGATTGCTCGATGTGGTTTATCTTTTTACGTGAGAATTTCTAGGTAAAATTATGAGTGGGTAATAAATGATTCAATAAAAAAGCAAGTTGCCTATCGTAAGCGGAGTTTACGGTGAAGTAATTCCTAAGATTATCCATCTTGAATAAGTTCTAGTTTAATTGGAGGTCGTGGGAAATCATGTTGTGTTGTCCTGGTTTTAAAACAAAACGAAAAACTAAGTTTGTCGACGAAAACGAGAAACGAAAAAGTTTTGATACATCTACACAAAATTCTGTGGAAAAATCTACGAATACTAGTACGAAAATTCAACCGGAAATGAATATGGGTAAGACTCATTCATTTTCTTTTAGTATTAACGAATTTATTTATAAGTAAAAATGCTTTAATTGAGTTTAATTTTCGTTCATTCTTTCCTAAGTAAACAATACCTATCACTGTGTAATCTCTATCAGCTTGTCTGTTCTGTTCTGCACAAGGCCGCGTATTTTTAGCTTCTATTGAATACTTATGACGACAATATATTATTAGTGCACCGATAGGCTTTGCAAATATTTTTAGATTATACAAATTGTATTTATTATTTATAGCGGAACAAATTAACACAAAATTAAAAAAATTGTCAATAAATGTCATATTGACAAAACTGACTTATTAAAATGTTAATTATTATTATAACAATTTCAAATTTGCTATGAAGAACTCGTAAACGTAAATAGCACTCGATTTAAACCGACTTTATCTTTCCACTTGAGACTGAAAGTTTGAAATCGCTCGATTCAATCACGAGATTTGAGTCTTGTTAAAGATTTAACCCAAATATGTTTAACATCCGTCTTAACCCGAATGCTTCTAGTTCCAAGTTTAATTTTAGTTCAATAAAACTAGAATTAATACTAACACTGTCACTAGAATTAAGACTGTCTCTCTCAAGACGGCTAAACCCAAATGCTTCTAATTCTAGATCTAGTGTTAGTTCTAGTTTTAATTTAATAAAAATATAAACTAACACTAAACTTATTTTGAAGCCAACTTAAGTCCTGTTAATCTCTCTAGATTATATATCTAACATAAAAATGAAACAAATTGCTATAAATTTTAAATTTATTCACTTTAAAATTTAATACCACAAAAATAAAAATGAATCCATAGAAAATTCAATAAGTTCTTCGATTACCACGGGACTTGAACCCCATCAAACTGATAAAAATTGCCATTGTGTGTTTCTTTAAGTTGGAAAAGTAAATTAACGATTTTCTCGGTGGAAGTTTCCACGTCTAAGGGGGCATTTTTCCCACCCATATCCGTTTTAACCCATCCCGGGTGAATACAAGTGGCGAGTATTCCAAAGTTCTTCAAATCGACGCTCATCGACTTTGTAGCCATGTTTAAAGCGGCCTGAAATGTGGGGTTATTTCAAATGAGTTAGTTCTCGTGGGAAATATGCTAAGTGAAAGGTGAAAAAAGAAAATTAGGTTAATGAGGGTGATATTTTTAGATTTCACTCCATTTAGTAATGAGGTGTATTAATAAAGTATGAGCAACAAAACTTGAAAAGTAACGATTATATTAAAAATGTTATACTTATTTTAAATTTACCTTTGAACATCTATAAGGGTATAATCCACCATCTTGATTATTATCAACTGACCCTAACACAGAGGACATATTAATTATGGCACATTTTTCCACACCCATCGATTTGTTTGCATTTTTTTGAGCGGCCAGTTTTAAATGAGGTAATAAAGCCTACCAAAATCAATCAAAAGATATAGTTATGATTTAAATTTTTAACTTACTTTCGTTAACATGACTGGTGCTATCGTATTTGTTAGGTAAGTATCACTCATATGCTCAGCTTTCACGAGTCCTATCCTCGCATATTTCGGCGAAACACCAGCGTTATTAAACAGAACGTTTAATCCGTCATCTTTGACTATATCTCCGACTTTTTTAGCAAAAGCATCGTATGTAGTTAAATTATGAAGATCTAAAAAGGTTAATGTTTCAAAAAAGTCATCAAAAAAATAAAACTGTTTACCAAATTGTAAGACGTGTACGTTTTTGTGTTCATCTGCGATACACGTTAATTCCTGTAAGATATTAAAAAATGGTTAGAAAATATTATCGAATTTAAAAATAATTTATGTGTGACCTTATTAAATTATTCGTACCTGTCACGAACATAAAAAAAATAGATAAAGTGTCAACCCCTCCCAAATGTTGAAAACGGTATTAACCCAGAAATAGGTTGAGTGGATTCAGTGTCATCAAGGATATAACACCAAGAAGGTGTGAAGTTGTGCGTAAAGAAGTACTCGCAATATATAAAAAATAATTGTTATAAATAACGAAACCAACGTAAGAAAATAGCAGAATGAATGAAGAAACCTTTAAAGATTTTGAAAGCCATGAAGGTCTGTATTAAAATTGTTTATATATACCAAATATTATTGCGATTATATGTAAATAATAATTAACTATTTAATTTTTTATGATAAAGTCGAAATCGAATGTAGTAAAAACGAGATTATGTATATATTAAAGATAAAAACAAATATTCTTAGAACGGTATTATAATAAACTAGTAAAGTAAGGAAATATAATATACAGGGTGGCCACACAAGAACGCCGCTAGCTGTACCTCTGTCATTTACCTTCCAATTTTCATGACCTAGCTATCAAATGAAATGGTTTGACGAATACTATGATTCATGTTACAAATAAACTTTTTCCAACGCCATCTTCAATTTCTAGCGATTATCAACATTTGATTTTCAAATTGCTCGGTATGTTTTTCTTCACGCTATTGGATAGAGTTTTTTTTTGAATCCATTAATGTACAATACATCAACATTAATTGTAATTGTAGCATAGAAAAACATTAAAATAGTTTCTGAACATTCTCTTAAAGTCACTTCTATTACACTGTAGTGTGCCATGGGATAAATGAAAAAACAACTTATAAGTATCATTTACAACTGCTTCGGGCATTGAAATAGCATTTAACGACTGTTATCAGTTTTGCGTGAAAAAGTTTATTTGTAGCATGAATCATAGCATTCATCAAACCATTTCATTTGATACCTCGTTCATAAAAATCGGAAGTTAAATGACACAGTTACAGCTTACGGCGTTCTTGTGCGACCACCTGTATATACAGGTGTCTTTTTTCTGCTAAAATTACATTCAAAGTGGACGTATTGCACATCAGTGGATTCAGAAAAACAATCTCTATCTAATGACGTGAAGAAAAATATATAGAGCAATTTGAAAAACAAAAGTTAATAATCGCTTAAAATTGAAGATGGCCTTGAAACAAATTTATTTGTAGCATGAACCATAGTATTCATCAAACCATTTCATTTGATGCCTCGGTCATGAAAATCGGAATATAAATGACAGAGTTACAGCTTGGGGTGTTTTTTGTGTGACACCCTGTATATATATATAGTGTGTCCGTAAAGTCACAGTGCATTTCAAACCAAACGCAAAAGCAACAAAGCAAGATAGAAATCTTCACTAAATAAAAGGAAAACTCTCACAGATGATCATGTAATACTACGAACTACGCAGCAACGAATTATCACACGTCAGTCGAGATGTGGTGCAAAATCTGCTGAAAATCCTCTTGCCTACATCACAGAATATTCTGTGCCTACATTGAGTACAAACGTAATACTCTTAAATTGAATGTGTGAACTTAATGCACGATACTTGGAAACACATCTGGGTGTATATTAACTGCTCTCTCTAAGGAAATCTCATTCTTTCCCGAGATAATTGACGTTTATAAAGAAAATTAACCTTAACATTTTTTTCTCGATATGATTAACATTTCAGACCAAAATTAACTCAATATTTTTCGAGTATGTGCCAATATAGGGCCCATAATCATCCCAACCACAACAAAATACATGACGAACCTAGTTTCTAGCGAAACCATCAGCTTTGAAGATAATGAAGCGGAACTTGTAGAACTCGAGAGACAATCAGACATGCGAATTGAAAATAAGAGCAAATCTTGCATAGGCAATCTATGGCAAACCGAATGATATCTTAAAAAATAATTTGAAACCTCAATAAATTTAAAAAAACTTTAAATTGCATTGAGAAAATTGGAGAGATCAATGCTTGGTGTTTCTGATGTGATTACCCAAATTGCAGAATTTAAACAGAATTGGGCAAATAAAGATACTACTCGAGTGGATCGATATGAGATTGGATACAGAATGCGCAAGATAGAAAGAACTGGACATGAATAAAGGTTTATGTTCAGCAGTGAACATTAAATGCTGGCGGATATAATTAAAATTCAAAACTTAATCCCATTAATATAAGGAAATATGTAGCAGGTATACAAAGTTAGGAAAATGTAATTAAGTTGCTACTTAATTATCAATTTGTATTTTAAGTTAATTAGATAACTATGGCAAATGATACTCAGTAAATACATTTGACATTCCATTTTAAATAACGAATTATATCTGACACAAAATTTTTTTAGCTGTGACAGATAAAATAAAACACACTGTATAATAAAAAAAACTTATTTCATCATCTAAGAACATTCTAGTAAAATTAAATATAAATAATTTTTTGTATTCAAGGTATTGATACATTTATAGATAAATTATTATTATAGAAATTGTGGTAGGGGAATTTAGATATTAAGAAATGATTCACTGCCGGTTAAATAGATGGCGGTAGAAGTCGATAAGTTACTGTCAGATGAAACGGGAGAGTGCGCGGACGGTTTTTTTGGTTACGTTTTAATAAGTAGGTTAGAATACCGTTATTCCATTCATTTTCTGTGTGATCAGATCATTCCGTTTCGAAAGCACGGTTATTAAATACGAAGAAGCAGGTTGTGTTTGTAAAAAGATGGCTCCATTAGGTAAGTGCTTCTCGTTGTTCTAACAAAATTTAAATTAAAAAAAAAACAATTTTTCTATCTCTTACCTTCGCCTTTTCAATGCTCCTACATGTTGTTATAAGGTGCTTCGGTGGATTCTCCAACTTCGTTAAAGCTCTAACCAATCCGAGTCCTAAACCTCTATTACATCCAGTTATAACGATTGAATTCATCTTGGATGTGGAAACTTGGTTTATCACTGACTTCAATTTTACCCGTTGTGTTACAAACTTCAGTTTTGACTGATAATTTTTTCCGAACAACCGTTTGAAAATAGAGTGAGTGAACTTTTTTAGTGTTAAATATAGATTATTATTTATCGACGGTGTGGTTCAGTGTTGAAAAACTCAAGGTTATAAATGGCGACAGCGGTTTGTCTTAGAAATGTCATTAGATTTAAGGGATTTACGCGTTACCGCGTTTCTGTTACGAATAATCACGCTTTTTCGACGGTTGTCCAAAGATCTAACTTATTTTCGATTATAACCTCAAAACCGACAGACATCTTGGGAAGAATTAAAGGTAATTTTATAAAAGTTCTATTTAACCTTGAATTCATTAAGTTTTTTCGTCTTTATTTCTTTCAATCTTATATCTCAACGTGAAATTAACACTAATTAAAAATTGGGTAATTTTTATTGTTATAACCTCAACACATTTTTTCTTGTTAGTCTGAATTTCATACTATTGCACCATTTTTATTTGTGAAATATCAATGACCTTGGATTATGTTTATAATTTTTCACTTTTTAAGTACAATGTTTAAATGAATATTGTACTATAGAAATAATAAAATTAATTCACTTAACCTTAATAAGTGAGAAGAAGAAGCACCAGCGACAAAGCGCCATCTTTTGTTAGTTAGTTGTTTCAAATGACAGTTTTAAATAAATGCTAACATTCGAGATTGTTGACAGACAATAACAATTCTAATAAATATTAATATTTGTGAAATGTTGTGTATACAAAACGGATAAATAAAAGCTCGCCTATATTTTTATTAAACTAAAAGTAGAACTAACGGGTGTTTTTTTATAGAGGTATAGAACTTTAAGTTGGCAACACTTTTTTAACTGGCGGCCATTTTGTCAGCTGTCAAGTGATTTATGTTTAGTTTGGCATTTCAATATGAATAGACTGACGCCTGAACAACGCTTCCAAATTGTGCAAATTTATTTTGAAAATCATGGTTCTGTTCGAAATACAAACATAATCGTCGTTTTCGCACCACGTTTATTCTAAATGATAATACGCATCCACAGAGACGTCGTATAGTGCGTACAGAAGAAGTTATTGCTGCTGTAGAGCGTAGCGTAGAGGAAGATCCGAATCAGTTGATCCGCCATCGTGCACAGGAATTGGATATGTGTCCATCCACTTTATGGAAGATTTTCTTGGTTTGCGTGATTACAAAATCCAACTCGTGCAAGAATTGAAGCCACACGATCACTTAGCAAGGCGTAATAAAATCCCGATTTTTATAAGCGAATTTTATTTACCGATGAATCTCACTTTTGTGTGAATGGATACATCAATAAACAAAACTGCCGTATTTGGAGTGATGGTAATCCTCAAGTGTATGTTGAGACACTGTTACATCCAGAAAAACAGACTGTTTGGTGTGCTTTATGGGCTAGTGGAATCATTGGTCCGTACTTCTTTAAAAACGATGCTGGTCAGAACGTTATAGTCAATGGTGACCGCTATAGAGCCATGATTACAGACTTTTTCGTTCATCAATTGAACAACCATGATGTGCAGGAGCTGTGGTTTCAACAAGACGGTGCAACATGTCACATAGCTCGTGCCACAATTGATTTATTAAAGGAAGCGTTTGGTACCCGCATAGTTTCACGTTTCGGACCCGTGAATTGGTCTCCAAGATCGTGCGATTTAACACCGCTAGACTATTTTCTATGAGGATATGTAAAGTCGCTAGTCTACGCCGATAAGCCCAAAACCATTGATCACCTTCAGATTAGACTACGTCCGAGCCAGCCGGTAATATGCCTAGAATATTTAAATTATAATGCCAGAAGATTATCTTTCGAATAAAGTTGATTTCATGTCAATTTAAAAAATTCATCTCTGTTTTATTCCATCTCAAAGTTCTATACCTCTATAAAAAACACCGTTTTTTTACGAACGTTTTGGTTGGTCTGCAAATATCTGACCTTATGATGCAAATAAATTAAGTTATATGGATTTAATACATTGATCCACGCTCCATTTAACATCAGCGCGCTCAAAGAGCCATGTCTAAATCATTTGATTGAAATAAAGTGAACCTTATACCGACAGAATACAATTTCGACCAGCCGTATAAGGTCATATTTAGAAGCAGAGATGATTGGACGAAGATTGGACTCAACTAAAAAGAGGAGCCTTTTCCTGGTACACAGATGCTACAAAGATATTTGGATCCGGAATAGGCATGGGCATTAGTGGAGTCGCATTAAATTGCCCCTCAGCTCAAACATAACCATTTTTCAAGCTGAAGTTCTTGCTATAAACTTCTGCACCAGTTAACACCAGCATAAACATTTTCACAGACAGTTGGGCCGCCTTAAAGGAAATTCAGGCCTACACGTGCGACTCCGCACTGATCAGAGAGTATACCAGCAACCTAAGAGAACTCACTAGGGGCAATGATGTTACTCTATGGTGGGTTTCAGGTCACAGAGACATTAAAGGCAATGAGAAGGCGGACAAGCTGGCCAAAGAGGCAGCGAAAACGCTCTCCAACCTGGTTATGGACTACGAAAAAGCCACTTAAAACAAGTAATCAACAGTTGGGAGGGCTCAAAGGTAGCCTTATGCTGGAAAGAACTTCCAGGTCACAGACAAGCGAAGAGTATGATAACTCTGTCACAAAACAAAATCAGGCTTCCTGACCGCTTCTAAAATACCACCTTTTCCACATTGGACAAGCTGAGGATCAAAGTTGTCGATTTTGTAGCGATTAGTCAGAAACGGGACATATCCTGTATAATTGCGTTGTTAGAGGCTGTCTAAGACAAAATTTTCGGTAAAGCTCTTTTGACACCTACCAACATAAAGGAACAAGACCTTGGAGCATACTAAGGTTCATTAAGGATCTACATTTGCCCTAAATTTTTGGAGGGCTAAAGTTACAATAGATTTTATAGGTCGCGGTGACAAGAGGGTCCGCTCCCCTAACCTCGGCATCAATAATAATAATAATTATAACATCAGCATCCTCCTTGATAACGTTGATAGACTTCGAAGACTTAATAAGATAGCTGAATAAGCTTACAACCAGGAGGTGGATTCCTAAACATGTTTTAAGAATCCTCATAAAGTGTGGATTTTGTGATAGTGTCTAAAAAGTACGTAATAAGGCTTCTTGTTCAGCTAACTATGGGAAGTAACATTCAACTTTTAATGACCTACAGGTGGTTATTAATTTTGTCTTAATATATCTACAATGTCTATAATAAGTATATTTCTAAGGTTATATAGTAAAAGACTCAAGTTTCACATTCAATTTTATTTCCAAATATATATTGTTTTCTTTTTTGAGAGCTATTATAAAACGTTGATTTAATACTTCCAACTATGATTATTTAATTAATTAGGACAATTAAAATCCACAACCTTGCACTTTATTCTCCTTTTGTATCGACCTTGACTCTCTTACATTTTCTCACATTTACCTTTTACAAAATTATCTTTAATTATAATTAACGAATAATTTTCTAATAAATCTTTTTGTATTTATTTTATTAGGTGATACAGAATATGACTTAATAGTTATCGGAGGAGGATCCGGTGGTTTGGCTTGCGCAAAAGAAGCAGCCGGCCTTGGGGCGAAAGTGGCCGTTTTAGATTATGTAACTCCAACACCGATCGGCACGAAATGGGGCCTCGGGGGCACTTGCGTGAACGTCGGTTGTATTCCAAAGAAATTAATGCATCAAGCCGCTTTATTAGGAGAAGCCGTTCATGTAAGTTAATTTTTAAATTGTTATATAATTTCGCCTTTACAAATCATTAATGTACATCACGTGGAAAATTGGTATTAATTACAAAATCGGTCAATATAGATAACGTGGATAAATAAAATAAAGTGAAAAAATTATGATAGTGGTGATAATGTTAAAGTGGTTCTCATTGTTATAAAAAGTTAAGCGCACATTTTCTCTGTATGTAATAAAATCGTTAATGAAATTAAAATTGATTTATAAATACTTTGGTAGCCGCACGTGGTTGATTTTATTTTTGGATATCACATGTAAGAAATCCGTCTTCCTCAAATGTTTAGGTTGGGAAATCTGCCAAAGTATACACGGAAAATTTGTACTGTTTATATGTTTAGTTGAGGAGTGAACAAGCTTTTACTTACTTGTTTATCAACTTCATTGTTTATTTTGATTAATAGTTGTGTAAAAAAATTACTATTCGTCCTTTTTAGGATGCTCAAAAATATGGTTGGGAATTACCTGAAGCATCAACAATCAAACACAACTGGGAATCTTTACGAGAAGCCGTTCAAAACCACATTAAATCGGTTAATTGGGTTACCAGAGTAGAACTTCGCGATAAGTAATTAACTCACAATTAGAATCTTCACATAATATTTACTTTGTGTTATTTACAGAAAAGTAGAGTACATCAATGGATTGGGTTCATTCAAAGACCCCCATACAATCGAAACCGTCACCAAACAAGGTCAACGTTTGCTCACTGGCAAATACATTTTAATTGCGGTGGGTGGTAGACCGCGTTATCCCGATATTCCCGGTGCTGTCGAATATGGGATTACAAGTGATGATATCTTCAGCTTAGACTCGCCGCCGGGAAAAACTTTAATTGTTGGGGCTGGTTATATTGGGTTGGAATGCGCTGGATTCTTAAATGGATTAGGTTATGAAGCAACCGTTATGGTTAGATCAGTTCCATTGAGAGGTTTCGATCAACAAATGGCTGGGATTATTGCTGAGAGTATGGAATTGAAAGGAATTAAGTTTTTGAATAAGTAAGTCAAAGTTGTATATTCCCAAGAGGTCACTTGAGTCTGGTGTCACAAACCAATGTAGAAAATCAAATCAAGACCAGACTCACTATTTACATCCAAATAAGCGCCAACACAAACGCGGATATTATGTTTCATAAATAACTCAAATAATTAACGAAGATAAATTGAATATTTTTTTAAGGTGTTTACCAACTTCTGTAAAAAAACAAGATAACGGTCGTTTATTAATTTCATGGAAAAATAATCAAAATGAAGAATTTTCTGACGTTTTTGATACCATTTTATTTGCTATTGGACGTAAAGCTTTAACTCAGGAATTATTGTTAGACAATGCAGGAGTTAAATTATCTGAAGATGGAGATAAATTAGATTGCCTTAACGAACAAACGAATATTCCTCATATTTACGCTGTTGGAGATGTTTTATATGTAAATATTTCAAAAATTATTAACATTTCAAAAATAATCCAAAACATTTTTTTTAGCGCAAACCAGAATTAACCCCAGTTGCTATTCAAGCTGGAAAATTATTAGCGAAACGTCTTTTTGCTAATTCCCAAGAAGTAATGGATTATGATAATGTAGCCACAACAATTTTCACTCCAATGGAATATGGTACGGTCGGACTTTCTGAAGAAGTCGCCATCCAAAGGCATGGTGAAGAAAACATTGAGACTTATCACGCTTATTATAAACCAACCGAGTTTTTCATTCCTCAAAGATCCATTGTTCATTGTTATATTAAAGTTGTTGCTTTGCGTACTGGTGATCAACAAATTTTGGGAATGCATTTTGTTGGGCCACAAGCTGGAGAAGTTATTCAAGGATTCGCTGCCGCTATGAAGTAAATAAAAACTAAAAAAATTTTATTTACAATTTTTTAATCCAATATATTTTAGGTGTAACATAACATTTAAACAATTATCAAACACAGTGGGCATTCATCCAACGACTGCGGAAGAATTTACAAGAATAAACATAACCAAGAGATCGGGCAAGGATCCAAACCCCCAATCTTGTTGCAGTTAAAATGAATTTAAATTGTATTACACTCCAGATTAATATGTTATTAGTTATTCCAATTTGAACCCAGTGCAAGACCGTCGAAAATTAATTAAATCATTTTTTTTTGCTATGTATCTGTTGTAAATAGATGATGAGTATTAATGGAAGTGCTCATAAAAGAAACACTTTGTTCTTTAGTGTGTATGGTGATATTAAACGGTGCACATTTTATAAAAGTATTTTTTATTCCAACTACTAAAGCGTCACAGATATTTCTTGCTTGTTGTATTTTTTGTGTTAAATTGTTCACCAAAATAAAAAAAAATCATTTTTTTACTATTTTTAATTTTTTTAAAGCATTTATAAGTTTTTATTTAGTCTCCTGTTGACCAGTGATTAATATCATAATATGAGATATACAGGTGTCCCTTATCTTCCGCATTAGAGCATTATATGGCTGTAGGATACATTATTCTGAAGCTCTTCAATAGCACAAAAAGTTTATTTCTCTTTCCGTGTCGAATCTATTGGTGAGTACACGTGCGAAACTAGTTTAGAACGGCGCGGTGGACCAGCCGGGGGTGAGACCGATTGCTCGACAAAGATCGTTTCAGAATAATGTATTCTACAACCTTATAATCAATGACATGGTTATCAACTGGACTGCGTGTTCGCCGAATAAAGTGATGCCAGTAGGGTATGCAACCAACATTTGCCATTGTAGGCAAAAGTCGGGCCGCGCCATAAGAAAGCGCTCTAACTAAAATAGCATTAAAGTCCCTAGATTTACAAAGTACCGCGGTTCATGACGCCCGTTTTCGAGCCAAAATGGCGGTTTGACTACTGCATCTCACCACTTATTTACAAAAATATTGCCGTCTTGTTGCCTTTGGAGTTGCAAAAATAGCAGTAAGAAGGGCTTTCGACTCTTAAGAGTACCACGAGCAAAAAGAATGAAGTTTTGGCGTAATGTTTTCAATAGAACGACATAGTTTTAAATTTCCCGCTTGACTTTTGAGCCAAAATGGCTACAAATCGTGGTACTTTGTAAATCTAGGGACTTTAAATAGCATTATAAGACAAATATGAGCAAGTTGCTTCATGTAAATATCTAAAATGACATTATTAAAATGTTATTATTAAAAACAATATTTTCGTCGAAATTTTGATCTTGTTTATAAACAGGTTTTTTTTTGTCATTGACAAAGGTACAGCAGGTCAGAAAATTGCATAGTAAAAGGATATTTTTCTTATTTGCGCATTTATCAGCCCCGCAATAACATTAACCTTAACCGTGTAGCCGGTCGCTTTTGCCTACAATGGTCACTGTTGGTTGCCTAATCTATTGGCATCACTCTTTTACACGGGAACTATGGGGACCTCTCAGTCTAGTTAATAATCATGTCACTGCTTATAATGCTCTGATGCGGAAGATACGGGACACCTGTATACAGGTGTGTCAAATGTCTGGAATATAGCCAATAACTTCGCCATTTGTGGTTTTGAAGAAAAATGTTTCAAATACAAGTTTCTTTATTAGTCATGGCGCATTTTTTGGCGATGTTTGCTTGTTTGTATTGACTTTTGTTCCGTTGCTATGACAACCAACATTGTTATTTTAAATGGGATGCATATATTTTTTTTGCATACTTTGATAGAGGAGAAGTCCCTCTATGTGATGAACATATCAAATCATATGGTTGTATAAGAAAAAAATCGAGAAAAAATGACAAAATAACGCCGTTGACAGTTAAATGTCAAAAAAATTGCAGTTTCAACAATTATGAGTAATTAATAATGTATGGTCATTGGTAACTGTCTTCGGACATCAACTTTTTGTAAGGTTTTTAACACTTTCGGTATTAAACATTTTTTCGAAGTTATTGGCTATATTCCAGACATTTGAGACATCCTGTATATGATAATAATATGATATTATCTACCTGAAACTAGTCATCATAATGTAGCATCTCCGCATTATCAAAAAAAAAAATATTCAATATATTCAAAGGCTTAAGACCGCTAAACCTGAATATTTCTAGTTGTAGGTCTAATATTAGTTCTAGTGACAGTTGTAAGTAGCGCTAGTTAACGTAAGATATCACTATGATACATATTCTAATTGAACTAACACTAGAAACATTCGGGTTTAGCCGTTTAGTGTTAGTTCTAGTTTTATACTAGCACTATCACTAAAACTAACACAAGACCTAGAATCATTTGGGTTTAGCTCTATTGAGAGACGTGAGGATAAATCTGAATGTTTCTGGTTCTAGGTCTAATGTTAGAGTTAGTATAAATCAGACGCACGGCTAAACCCGAATGTTTCTAGGTCTAGTGTTAGTTCTAGTTTTATACTAGCACTATCACTAGAACTAACACGAGACCTAGAACTAGAACTGCATTCATATATTGCGACTTATATAAAATTCCGTAGAAAATTCCTAAATAATGTAGTTTCTAAATGTTATTAGATTTGAAAAATTAATCGACTTCATTTTATGTTATTAACAATTATTTAATATAAATTAATAGTTATTTACGTAACCAGTTATGAAAAGACTTATTTTGTTTGACGAACGTAATATTTGTTAAAACGAGCGAGCGAGTTTTGCAAATTACGTGAGTTATACAAAATTAGCCGTTTCATAACGTGTTAAGTACAAAATTTTATCTAATTCCATTGAAAAANGACATACACACGTCCGTCAAAATAAAAAACGTCCCGTAACCGCCCCATAATCGATCAAACAAAAAAAAATCGTTGTAATCTCAATTTATAACTAACCACGTAAAAAATTAATTAATGAATTAGTTAACGTGTCGTAGTTTAAACGTTATGATAATAAAAAAAAATTAATAATAACTATTACCTGAGTGTTGAAGAAAATGAAACAAATAATATTTAATTAATAATTAACTTAATAATAATAGATGCAAAATCTTAAAGTTACAAAAAAATCTCATTGTAAGTCTTTTCTTTTTTTTAGATATAAACGTTAATTTGAATTATTAAAATGAAAATCGATTATTAAATAAAATGTACGTATTCGAAGTAGTTGTTGTATTTGATATAAACGTGTGTTAAATGAAGGATTTAATTTATTTTATTTAATACAAAATAAAGCAGCCAAAGTGTTATAATATTTTTTAGACAACTGGACTTCAGGTAAAAACCATTTAATTTAATTTTAAAACTTAAAAAAATTAAAAACAGTAATACATCTTAGAAAGAAAAAACTTTAACAATCTAAATTAAACAAAAGAAACCTGCATGTTAACAAATCCTGTTTTTAATTTAAAATTGTATTCTCTAAATTATTTTCTATGTTACAGGTCTGTAGAGGACAATTCGGGGCATTTTATTCCAATTTATTAATGAATCAGACTGTGATTTTATTTTAAGAGATTTTTATTTATTACATAGTTTTTAACAAAACAAATAATTGATTTTTTTTAACCTATACCTAATTATTAAAAAAAAGAATCTTCAAGATACAGAAAAAGTTTAAGAGAGGCGCAACGCATTAATTATTTATTTACATTTTTTTTTAAGAAAACACAAACAGTAATTGATTGCTACTTTTGTATAAAAATATTAAATTGTATAAATACATGTAAGGCACCAACACAAATGGTGTGGGGGACAATTTTATACTTATTCTTATTAAATCGCTACTGCATCTGGATGTCGTTCCAAAATCATTGCAACACCCTAAAAAAGAATAACAAATTATGATAAAATAAAAGTCTTAAAGATAAAAGTTGATATAGTCAAGTGTAAAATCAGTTTAGTTTAAATTTTATTAGCAAATGATTGTTGTTGGTTTTTGTTATAGTCACAGAATAAAGAATAATACCGGAAAGATCACTACTACTTCTATTCTACTTATATGAAGTTGATATTGAGGATCGAGAATTCCAAACTAAGTTACAAAAATTTAACACGCTGTGAACATATGCAAAATGTAATACTTGAATCCCTTTGATGTCTATAACATTTTTTGGTGTTCTAAGCGCAAAGTTTTGGAAACCACCCAGTTTCTCAAAGGTAAGTTTTTGGTCAAATGTCACACCAAGATCTTTAATATGAGATAATCTCGACATGGCTGCGCCCCCAAGACCATAGTCGTATTTAATTAAGTTCAACTTTCTTATGAAAGAAAGTATATAACATTTGCTCAAATTGAGCACAATGAGGTTCGAGTCGCAGTACTGTTGCAAAACGTCAACGTAAATAATTTCAAATCATCAGCATACATTAAGCAGTGAGAATCTTTCAAAACAACTATATCATTAATATAAATACACCGTGTTAATTAATTATCGTACCCGACGTCATCACTGCAAGTATGCAACCAATATCACAGTATTCGTATTGCAATACGCGATTTGCGTATTGGGTTGCATACTTGCAATGATGACGTCAGGTACGATAATTAATTAACACACTGTAGGTACACCCGAAGGGTACTGAAAAAGAACTAGATTTATGTCCTTTGATTAATACTATCTGAGTTTGGAAATATATAAACAAAATAAGGAAAGTACGAGAGGAAATAACCAGTGAAATACAAATGACGGAGTGGAGAGATTACTTCAAGGGTCTGCTGGAGGGGGAAGAGGAGGTAGATACAGGGGGACGGAGAGGAGAGGAGATGGCCGGGGAACAAATGGGGGGACTAAAGAGGGGGAAGGCTCCAGGGGAGGACGGTGTCCAGAATGAGGCATGGCTGGAGGCAACGGGAGAAGTGAGGGGAAAGTTGTTGGAAGCGCTGAACAAAGTTTGGGAAGGGTTTCCGATTGGATGGAGGACGGCGATAATAAGCCCCTTGTACAAGAAGGGAGTGAAGGGAGTAGTGGAAAGTTATAGGGGAATTAGCTTAATGGACTCGGCGTACAAGATATATGCGAAGGTGCTGCTGCAGAGGTTGGAGGAAGAGATGGAAGAGAAAGGGATCTTACCGGACGGACAGGCAGGATTTAGAAAGGGAAGGGGTGCGATAGATAACGTGTACATATTGAAGCACTTGGTGGATAAAGAGCTGGAAGGGAAGGGAGGGAAGCTTTACGCCCTATTCATAGATCTAAAGGCAGCGTTTGATAAGGTGAATAGAGGGAAGTTATGGGAGGAGATGAGGAGGAGAGGGATTACTGGTGGGACAATAAACAGGGTGAGGGAGATATACGCAGAGACGATAGCTAGGGTAAAGGTGGGGGACGAGTTAACGGATAGGTTCTGGACAACGAGGGGTTTGAGGCAGGGATGTCCACTTAGTCCCGCTCTGTTTGCCTTGTATACCGCAGACATGGAAGACAGATTGACCGGTGGGCAGATGGGAGGTGTGGTTGTAGGGAGGAGGAAGGTGCATTCACTGGCTTACGCGGACGATTTGGTGGTAGTGGCGAGAGAGGCGAAGGAGATGAAGGCGATGATGCGGAGTTTGGAGAGTTACTTTAGGGGGAAGGCTCTGGAGGTGAATGTAGGAAAGACAAAGGTTATGAAGTTCTGTAAAGGGGGTAGAAGGAAGAGCGAAGATTGGAGGTGGGAAGGGAAGGAGATAGAGGAGGTGAGGGAGTACACATATTTGGGGTACAGATTTAGAGAGGACAACAAGGAAGGCGCGCATGTGAGGGCAATGGCCAAGAAGGCGAATAAGGTGATGGGGCAGGTCTGGGGGTGGGGAGAGAGATTATTTGGAAGGGATATAGGAAAAAGGAAGATGATATTCGAGTGCTTGATTAGAAGTGTTATGATGTACGGGGCGGAGCTTTGGGGGTGGAAAGAGCAAGGGCTGTTGGAAGGCGTACAGGCTAGGTATTGGAGATGGGTTTTGGGGTTGGCAAAAGAGACGCCGGAGTACATAGTCAGAGAAGAGGTGAAGGTTGATAAGTTAAGAGTGGAGGCGGGTAAAAGGGCGGTACGTTTTGAGGAGAGGGTTGAAGGGAGGTCTCAATGTAAAATTTTGGGGGAGTGCTGGAAAGAGATTAAGGCAGGGAAAGGGGGTTACGGGCAACGAGGGAGGGAGGAATATTTCAGAAGGGTGGGGTACTCAGTGAAAGCGGTAGATGATAGAAGGAGGGAAGGGATTGAGATGTGGAAAGAGCTGGAGAGCAGGGATAGAGATGTACAGAGGCAAGAAAGAAGGGGGCAGATAAGGGAGAGCAGGTACAACCCTAAGTACGAGGAAATAATAACGGAGGGATTGCCGAAGTACCTGTCGGTGGAGGGGGATGAGGAGGGGAAGAGGATGGTGGCAAGATTCAGATGCGGCAATGAGGAGAGAGCGAATAGGTATTGGATGAGAGATGATGAGAGGGGTTGTAGGCTATGTGGGGGGGAGTGGGAGTCGTTGGAGCACCTACTGAGGGAGTGTGACGAGCTAAGAGAGGAGGTGATCGGCTGGAAGCAGGTGCTGGGGGAGGGGGCAGAGGGAAGAGAATGGATGAGGGAGGTGGTGGCGACAAGGCAGCGTAGGGAGATGCGGGGAGGAGATGGGGAGGGGTAGGATAGGAAATAAAATGTATTGTATTGTAATGTGATATATGTAATTGTAGTATTGCTAAAAATTTAATTGTTTGTGGAATGTATTGCTGATTTGGTAGCAATAAACTTAATTAATTAATACTATCTGAGTTCTTCCGCGTATTAAGTCTGTGTAAATAGCGTCTACTTGGATAGATTCATCCATAGAACGTAATATGTAATTGCTATATTAAGTTGCTCTCGAAAAAGCGACCCGCGAAGAAATCGTGTTTTCTGAAATCGATTTGCTTTTTGAATATGGAAAATAATCTTTTGTATATAAGTTTTTCAAGTAATTTGCTAAACATCGATAATAATTATATAGGTCTATAACAGTTAATAACTTTGCTACGATCGCCAGACTTTAATATTGGAAGAACATGTGCCTGCTTCCAGACACGCGGAAAAACTCCAGACTGAAGTGATTTATTATAGAACAACATTAGCGGAAGTGATAATGAGATAGAACAGTTCTTAATAATAATTACGGGTATTCTTTATGCCCCAGGCCCCTTCTTAGCGTCAATGCCACTCAATATTACATCGTACCAGTAGAAGAACAATTAGAAAATGACAAAGCAGCTGCAGCAGGCTGCACAGTACTGAAAACTAAGTAGAAGTAAGTTGTAAACAGTGAACATACACCATCATCACTGGAGGCAACAGTGCCGTTATATGAAACAGAGGCAAGATTATCACAACCGCGTTTCCTCTGCCTAACAAATGACCAACAACATCTAGGGTTGGAATAAATATCAAAGGGTATGTTCTTTGAGACTTCCAAAACTTAGGAACAAATTGTTCAATGGCGTTATCTAAGTGATTATAGAAAACATCAATGCAAAAGTCTACGTCATTAATGCTCAGCTCCATCCTCCAGCGCTAAGTGAACTATGTCCTCATGTACCAAAGGGCAATTACTTAACATTATATTAGTTACAGTATGAAAGTTTGCAAGATATAAGGAATATGTACAGTTTGGCAAATCTATTTTGGCTACGGAGCTCGTTTCTCAGCTTACTTAATCAAAAGAGCTATAAATTCACCTGATAAAGCTGAGGACGCACCATTTGCAAGTTCTTTTGTACCAAAATTAAGAAACGTTAAAGGTAAAGAAATAACATTTCGGAATGAATTAAATATCAATTTTTCTTTTTTTTTGTACTTTGCCATATTATATTATCTTTGTTCCAGTGACATATTTTTCATTTTTACCTGACCACCAGCTGCACAAGCTGCAACTAAACCAAATTGTCCATCTTCACGAACAAGCCTATGAGCGGTATGCATAGCCAATCGAACACCAGTTGCTGCAAAAGGATGACCAATAGACAAAGAACCACCCCATGAATTAAATTTATCCATATCGGGAGAACCGACTTTTTTAGGACGATTCATATATTTTTGAGCGAACCAATCACTATCCATGGCTTTTATATTTGCAATAATTTGACCCTACAAATCAAATCAATATCAAATCAAATCTTAATTTAAATAATAACAAAAATTTACCGCAAAAGCTTCATGTAATTCCCAAACATCAATATCCTTCAAAGTTAATCCAGCTTTCTCAAGTACTTTAGGTGTGGCATAAGCCGGCCCCAAAAGTAATTGATCAACGGGATCTTGGGAAACATAAATAAAATCGCGTAAATACGCCTTTGGTTTTAATCCCAAAGCTTTAGCTTTCGCTTCGGGCATGATTAAACAAGCGGACGCGCCGTCCGTTAAAAAGGAAGCATTAGCTGCCGTCACGGTTCCGTGTGGTTTAATGAAGGCCGGTTTCAACTTGGCTAATTGATCGGGGGTTGAAACTCTAATTCCGTTATCGCGATCGATCGTTTTTGAAACTCCCGTTATAGTCACAGGGAGCATATCGGTGAAATAGCCTTTTTGGTGAGCTTGATGTGCAAATGAATGGGATCTTAAGGCGAAATCGTCTTGTTCTTTTCTTGTAGCGCCGAATGCCGCTGCTAAACGATCTGCTGAATGACCCATGGTTTCTCCTGATGAAAATTCGGCAACAGCTGGAAGCTACAGGGAGGAGATTAAATATTTAAATTGTAAAGGCCACTTTACAGTAAGCAATTTTTCTTGCATGCAAGGTATCTCGCACGAAGTTATTGCGACAATATCTAGCGCAATTGACTTTACATTTGACAACTTTTAACTGCAAGATTTGAATTGCAATCAATGCTGCCAACATATATTTTTTGAAAGAATGAGGCACATGTACATACACAAACCAACAAAACAGAGTTGAGCTACTTGCAGTAAAAATGTACTACTTGCAGTACTTTTTTACTTTAAGTAGTTTACTGCCAGTACTTTCAAATTGTAGGTACTTAATACTTGTACTTTCAGTATTTAGCTTAAAATGTACTGGATACTTGTTACTTGTTTGACATAAGAAGTACTTGAAGAACTATTTGTTTACTCCAAGTAGTTTATCTACTTCCAGTACTTTCAATAGTAAGTAAAATAACAATTTTTTAAAGTTTTCTTCAAAATCCTAGATAGTCTTAAGAATACTATGAAATCTTTATGGTATGCTTGAAAAATCAGTTGAAATCTTCTGGAAATACTAAAAAATGCCTACAAAATCTTTGGATACACTCAAAAATCTTTAGATATCCATAAAAATTGATGAATATCTTTGAAAATGTGTCTAAATTCCTTCAAATTTTTAGAAATACCTAGTTGTATATAGAAATTTTTGGAAATCGTTTCAAACTCCCTAGATATGTTTGGAAATTCCTAAAAAAATCTTCTAAAAACTTGAAATTCTGTTAAATCTCTGCAAAATCCTAGATAACCTTAGGTATTCTGAGAAATTTTTATGGTATACTTGAAAATCCGTTGAAATCTTTTGGAAATCTCCTGGAAATATTAAGAAATCCTACATAAGTGTCTGGTAAGAATTAAAATTCCTCAGCATTCGTAATAATCCCTGGATATCCTTGGAAATTCTTCTAATTTTTCTAAAAATCAATCAAAAACCTTGGATACACTCAAAAATCTTCAAAAATCTTGAAAATGAGTCTAAATTCCTTAAAGTTGTTAGAAATACCTAGTTGTATATAGAAATTTCTCGAAATCGTTTCAAACTCCCTAGATATGTTTGGAAATTCCTATAAAGTTCTCTAAAAACTTGCAATTCTGTAGAAATCTCTGCAAAATCCTAGATAATCTTAGGTATTTTGAGAAATATTTATGGTATACTTGAAAATCCATTGAAATCTTTTGGAAATCTCCTGGAAATACTAAGAAATGCCTACATAAGTGTCTGGAAAGAATTAAAAATCCTCAGCATTCGTAATAATCCGTGNGAATTGAATGCTGATTTTGTAGCAATAAACTTAATTAATTTAAATTAATAAAATTTATCTTCTTTTACTTCTTTCCATCAGTCTATTTGACACCATTTCTAGCCAATACACTCCAATTTGTTATCTGGGGCCTCCACTAAATGTTGTTTTTCGGCCATCTGATGACATATTCTGCCATATTCTGCTTTTTGATTTGTTCTTAGCCCATTAGAACTTTTTTTTCATGAGCACGATGGTTTCCAGGCCATATAGCTTAGTTTTGGAGGATAAACTCGAGTTTACAAAATGCTGGCCATTTCAATCCTATTCTTCTCGTCATTTCGGTAGTCGTCTGAATTTCTTTGTCCACTTTGATATCGTGTCCAAGATAGAATAGTGTTCTACAACTTGTATAGTATGATAAGGAGCATCCGGACTCAAAATCTTTTTCTTCTGAACTTTGAACGTTGTTAGCTGAGACGCGAAATTCTTCTTACTTTCTACAACATCTACAGAAGACATCGTGTTGATGTATTGGCAGTGTTTAGAGATCAGACTGGTTTCCAGGCAATAAAGCCATTTGTGTAACAATGTGCAAATTGTATATTTGTTGTATCTACAGTGTGTCCCAGAATACATGTTACAAGAGATAATAATATAATGACTTAAAAATTTTCAAAAACCTTCTTTACCTATCACTATCTAAGCCGAGTTGATTTTCAAAATATAAAAATATACTTAAAATTATCTACACACCAAACAGAGCTTAATTCCCCATTCTTAAAATAAAATTCAAAAATTTTGAGGTCATTATACCTATTGTAACATCTATTCTGGGACACACTGTATATTCCTCCTAATGATAATGTTGCATTAAATGTATTTGTAGTGATTGAACGCATAATGCTTTTGCAAAAAGCCGGATACCAGATATTCGGGATCCCCTTCGGCCGGATATTCGGTTATCCGGCATATCTGTCCGGCCATTATGATTATAATTTCTGGTGCATTTTTGAAGTGATACTCTATATTGCCACATTATTGCGATATTTCAATAAAAATGAAAATTAACTAACGAAGCAACTCTAAAAGGATTCTTTAATTAATAATTGGTGATATTTCCGCAAGGATCCTTCAAGAAATGAATTTTATAGCGAATTTTAGTAGAAGTTCTGCAGCGGAAGTTCATCGTGACGTCACATGCGCATGCGTTGTTGGTTGCCCATCTCGTGCGACGCTACGTAGCGGTGAGTGGTGGAACTAAAAGGGTGTGGTTTGCCTAATAAACGATAGATGGCAGTCATGACGCCCTCTGGTGTCGGGCAGTGAAATTGCAAAAGGGAATCTACCGATCTATTGATGATAAATTTTTGACTTGTGGCGATTTAAACTTGCCCGAGATAGTTTTGAGTGTCGTTGGTTCTGGAATGTGTTCTGCCTCTTTTGCTAGCCCACGTTCAGCTGATTTCTTAGACGTCCATTAAACACTGTGGAGAAACAGACATGAATATAGAGTGGGTAGGTAGAGAACAAGAGGAAGCATCGATAAGGGTAGGAAATTTTGGGGCGTGGCGGGTGTTTGCAACAAAGTGAAGTATACCTCCAGAAGTTTGGTTTCGATTAGACTGGTGGAGACATGGATAAATAAATAAAGCGGGGTGGAATAGAATTAAATAGGAGTTGCCAAAGAGTTATGAATGAGTGTGTTAGAAATGTTAGCGGATTATTGAGGCAGATATGGAGCTGGGGGGAGCGAATATCTAGAAAACCTTGTGTAAAAGGAAAATAATGATTGATGGATTGGTGAGGAGTGTGATAATGTATAGAACGGAAATATGAGATTAGAAGGAGTACAAGATGGTGGAGAAGATTCAGGAGAGATATTGGAGGTGGACCTTGTAGTTGAGCAGGGAGACTCTGGAATATACTATAGTGAGAAAGGAATTCAAGTTGCACAAGATGAGGAAAGATGGAAAGGTGATGAAGTTGGGAGGTTAAGACTGGGGCTATGAACAATAAGAAAGAAAGAAAATTTGGGTTTTCCAAGATATAAGGTAGTCATTTTAAAAACGAACATTTGCGAGCTATAAGCCAGTTAACCAATTCGTGTATCTAGGTGCTCTCATAACTAACATCAGTGGTTGCAGCTAAGAAATAAAAAGACGCCTTGCTATAGCTGCTAGCTAGCAGAGTAAAACTAAGCAAAATTTGGAAATTTGAAAACTTGCTGAGTTACTCATAATATCATAGACGGAGTACAGAACAAACGTTTTAATATTGAACGAACCTAAAATCAAAGATGGGGACCTGATTAATAAGATCATACCTCAGCAACTACTCTGGACAAATAGCGATGTAAAGCAGATAGATGGAAAATCTTGTTGTAGTGGTTAAAATGGAGGAAGTGACGGGATACTCGATGCATCAGGTCATACAAATGGCGCAGGACTGGGAGGAATGGAGAAAAACAGTAAACACAAACAAAGAACTGAGGAGGAGTAATGATGTTCAAGATAGGAACGAGTTGTATTAACATCATCAGCACCGATACAGACATCTAGAATATCCAAGAAAATTTTAAACCTGGATCACATCATCCATAGCGAGAGCAATTCAAAAAATGATAATGTCTTCAATCCTTAGCCTTCAGCTTTCTTAGGTCCTCCTCCGCATATTCCACAGGTCAGATAATTCTTGTGGTCCTATTTTTTATGTTCATCCCGGCGCTATATGACCAATCCATCTCAACCTGATATAAGTAATAAATGATGGTTTACTGCTCTTTTTTGTATTATAAATATTCGTTCAGGTCCTGGGGAACTTTTAAGTAATACACTACCATTACTGTATGTCGAACTATCAATCAGAACAAAAGTTGAAACACTGAGTTTCTTTCCAACTTCATGTATCAATGCATTCCATTTCAGAGAACTCTCTAGGAGTACTCCCAGTAGTTTAGCAGCTGTTGCCTCAGTGGATTTAGTGTGAAAGTCAATTCTTTGTTTTTTTCTCATTCAGTTGCAGTCTATTAGCTTTAAACCAGTCACGGGCGACCATCCGTCTATAAACTTCATCTTCTTTTAGCTTGTCATTGGAAATCGCCTCGTCAACCAGAGTTGTATCGTCTAATATAGTACTGCGTATTATCAAGAATTCGGAGAGACCATTAACATACAGCAAGAAAAAAAACAAACATATTCGTTCCTCCCGAATCTCCTTAGTTCCTCTTGGTCTTTCTGCATTAATCTCCATGTTTGACCCATTTTGGTGACAGTAAGGTCTTGTATAGGACTAATTTATCCTTTTCTTTATTTCCTCGATGACCAAATTTTTAGTATTCATCCTTGTAAGGGTGTCCTTCACGTCGCTTTTTGTATCTACGGCGCCGGCGAATTCTAGCCCCCATCACCTCCCTCATCCATCTTTTGCCCTAGCCCCCCTCTCCCAAAATCTGCTTCCTGTCCATTGCCTCCTCTCTTAGCTCACTACACCCTCTCAGCATGTGTTCCACCGTCTCCCAATCCTCTCCACACAGCCTACACTACCTCTCCACATCGTCAAATCCATCAACAAATATTTTGGCAGTTCCTCTGTCACTATTTCCTCTGTGACCTTCTTTCCTGCCTCTGTATATCCATGTCCCTATCTGTCAGTTCTCTCCACATTTCCGCTCTTCTGTTTTCGATCCCAGTTAGTGAGTATCCCACTCTTCTATAATATTCTTCCCTGTCTCTTTGCTCATAGATCAGCC